ACTTTAAAAACAAAAGAATAATTGTAAGGAATTAGAAATAAATAAAGAGAAACTAGCAAACCTGAAACACCCAGACTTCAACGTTTCAAATCTCGTATATAATAACGCTTTCGAATTATTGTTTAATTACAAAAAAGGAATAGTATAAATTTCAATTCAATAAACAAATAATTTTTAGACTGTCTGCAATTAAATTTCAAATTTGTGTAGTTGATTAACTAGAACGTTCTATTTAGTTAAAATCGTTTCGATGTTCCTTTTGGATCCTTGCTATTTGTAGTTTCTTCGTTCTCCTCGGCTTCCCGTCTTCTATGTAAACGTTTCCGGTTACTTCTGGCCAATCTATCGTCAGCGAAGAGTCTCGGCTTCCATCTGGGCAATGATTAATGTAATAATTAAATGTACAAAACCGACGAATTCGATTTTAATCAAATAAATCGAGGATTCCAATTTTTCCGTATTCTTTCTAATTTTAATTTCATTTTATATCTTTATTACTAAATGATTTCATATCTCTGAAACTATTAATTGATATTAAAAATCGTTTACAAGGCACTTTAAGAGATACCCGAGTTTCGTAAAAACCCTTCAAATACTTTTTGAGAAAACAATAAAATAATGTAGATAATTAATTAGATTTAACATTAATCGCTTCTTTATCGAGTGTTCGATATGTTTACTAATAAAATTGCTTACCTAAGAACTTTTCGAGGTACTGGCACCTGGTCTCGGGATCGTCGGGGGTCGATGCCGTCCCTGAAACCAGTTCTGCCAGTTCCGCTTTTACCATTAAGTTCAGCCGAGCCGAGATCTCTTCCAGTCCCACTGAAACAGAACCATTCCGATTATAATACATCCTGTATACTACTGTCGCGTTCGAAACCGATCGAGAATAGTTCTTGTTCTAGAGAATAATTCTTACTCTAAATTTAATTATCAGACTACAGAAATTTAGAAAAGAATTTTATAAAAGCTGACATAATGAATTTCATATAATGATATTAAAATTGTGTTTAATATGAATAATTTCTGGGTGGAAGATACCTATCGAAGCTGTCTGAAAAAAAATTTGTGAAGCTAGAAGAGTACTATATTTAGAACATATTAAAACATCATTTAAATATCTGGAATAATTCCCTAGATAAAAGATTCTTTTACCACACTATCTTATTAAATTCCAATGTTAGAATCCCATCGTATATTCACAATAATAACTCTTAAATTATTAATATTAGAGGGCTAAAATTTACAGAGAATCTGGATATCTATCCTGTATCTAAAACATATCTGAAAACCATTTAAATACTCGTTAATGTTTCTGAGGGAAAGACATTCCGAAGTTCGTGGAATATATATTTAGTCGTTCAACAGTCGTCGCTTGTTTGAATCCATTGCTCGGCTTGGTTGGCTTCATTCAGGTTTCATTCAGGATGCGTGGGTGGCATTCTCATTGAGACAGAGAGGGGAGCGGCTTGTAAAAGGGAAACGGGAACGAGCATATTATCAATTCCGCGTAACGCTCTTTTATGCAAATGCGGCTCTGCGCTTGTGAGTTATAACCGTCTTGACAAATTGAGCCAGCGCGACGCTATTTAAACGGCTTTCGGGGATATGTTCATATGTTTTACATCAGAAACTGATCCGCGCGTATTGTCAGTTTCAAACACGTAGCATCAACAATTATTTACATGAAATACAATTTTAATAGAAAATGGCAAGCTCTCTGAATTTCATTTTTCAAAAATGGCACAGGGTGCTTAAATGATTTTTAAATACATGTTCTAAGTACAGAATTTTGTTCAACCTTCGACCTTTGTACGCCACATCCGGGATCGATAAATCGTCCCAAGGTGAAGACCTCAGCCGTGAATCGTTTCCCTAATGAGGGATCACGTCCACTGCATTTCAATTAAACGAACCTTCTCTCATTTCATTCTCATTCATTACTATTTGTATCCTTATTTATTAGTCTATTTACTATCTATATTACTCTCATTTATTATCTATCTCCCCCTTTGTTATCGTCAACAAGAATGTTTAAAAGCTTAATTAGCAATTTACCTGGTTCGAAATTCTTCTTCATTCGCCTCCACTGTCTCGCGTACAGCAGGGCTGAGCAGCCAGCAACCAGGAAGAAGAGGATGCAGGCACAGACGGCAAGGATCAAGGCAACTGTCTGCCAGTCCCATATCAACTTTTCTCGAATAACTCCGATCTGTAATCATAAAGGAATAATAGTTGAATTTCAAATAAATCCTTATAAAATTCTGTTTTACATAAATTATATCTTCTAAACTGTTAACACTCGAAAGGTGAAATTTACAGGAAATGTAGATTAATGTTGTGTCTGGAAGATATAAAAAAGTAATTTAAACAGCTTCTGCAGTTTTCGAGATAAAAATTCATAGAACTTCCAATGTGTAAATTGTGTTCTACAAAATTAATTATATCTTCTAAACCATTAATATTAGACAGCTGAAATTTACAGGGAATCTAGATGAATCCAAAACATATTTCAAAATCATTTTAACACAACTTTTAGTTTACGAGAGAAAAAATCCACAAGCTCTTAACATGAAATTTCGAACTCGCCTGTTTATCACTCTGAAGCCTATCGTCGTTCCTATCTAAGAATTCCGGGAACCTCCAGAGCATCTTGGAGGTCACCGCCTCCATGGTCCTCTCCCCGGTCTCCACTCGTTTCCCAGTGGATAGGAAGGACCAGTCGAGCTCCAGGGCAGACAAGGGGCCACAAATTGCATCCTTGTAGACTGTACAAGGGCTCAACGTGAACTCTGGCTGGCACTTGGTGCACGGATAGCAGGAGGAATGTTTTTGGGACCAAAACTCAATCCCTGGCTCGCATAAGGAGTGTCTGGGTGTGGTTAATGAGTGGATTTGATGGAGGAATAATGGTAGTAGTAAAGTGTACCAAGTGGAGAACCCACGCATCACCTGTAATGATTAATAATATTTTGGTATCAGCGACGGACACGTTTTCTGAATGTCAATCAGGGTTTCAAAGAGAAACCTTCCAAGCCATTCATTCATTAAATTAGCTGTACAATCCATACGAAACGAGTCGTGTTTTCTTTGAAAACTCTACTGAAATGGGTTTTACATATATTTTAGACATGACATTGATTTAGGATCATTTTTATTACACAGAAAATGTAGATCGTTTTATTTTTATTCGAAGGAAACTACTGTGGCTGTCAAATGTAAAAATTGAAAAATGAATTTCGATCGTGCAATTGTAATCGTTCAGATGCTAAGTACTCACGCTGGCTTTGATGATCACATAATTCTTGTCACTATTGCCACGGTTGACAAGACTCTCTTATTATTTATTCTCGTAAAATTCAGATAACCACCTGTTGATCGAGCTTCGAGTAAAATGAACAATCTGTCTTGAACACTTTATTTGAAATCTATTAAAATTTTAATAAGGCACATAGCTGCACAGATTCTTCACAATTATAACCGAAATTTGTTTATAAACGTTATGATTGAGTTCGGATTAGAAGCGAAGTTAATAGGATGTGCACAGGTCGACGTTCGCAAACCGACTGAAAGGTTAATTAAGGGTGACAGCCGAGCGCAACGACACTAGCGCCACTATTGCCCGTGGTCGTTTCCACGACTATTTATGAATTTCAATCGTTATATATTGATTTTACATGAAATAAATTAAATATCATCAGTTTCAGATTTGTATCTCTTCGGATTAAACCCTGATTTAAATTAAACGTCGAACGCCTGGATCATCTCCCCATGTACCGTTCTTCTCTGGCTCCAGCATCCTCGCTTTCCTCTCAAATAGTTCTCTGTTATACTTAAACTCTTGTGCGATTTCAGGCATCAAGGGATCGTCTGGGTTTGGATTCATTAATAAACACATTATAGACTGCAGAATATTCCTTAAACCGATTACGGGTGTCCAGCTGCCTTTAGGTGGTATATTCAACAGGTCCATACAGATTCTACCTGGAATCAATGAACCTGACAACGACTCTATTTTCTAATGTCTTTGGATATGATAAAATGGATAAACGGATAAAAATTGATTGATAGTCAGTTTTGACCCATATATCCTGGGGCTATGTTTTACCCGTCAAACATTGACCTTTTGCACTCGTACGTAGTGCTGGAGATAAAATTATTCTCACACTGGATGAAAATAAATCGAGTGCAAAGGGTCAGTACTGTTTATTCAATGGTACCTGTTGGATCTATGTTAGGATGATAGATCGGTGTGATAAAGTTTACTCGGGGTGGCTCGTACGGGTATTTTTCTGGTATATTCAACAATATTTCATAGATTCGTCCACTGTATGGGGTTTCACTCGGTCCCATTATAATAGCTCGGAACGTATCCATGTTGTCATTGGTTGGCCGGCAAGAGACCTGTTCGTTTTGCTCTAGATTCTCATACTCACGTTTCAGCCTCTTCATTCTCTGCATTTTTACCTTAAAATTAATAAAATGTAAGCTTGGGAGACGAATGGACTTTAATTAATTAATCAAAGAAGAAATCAGCATTTTCACTTTCAGAAATTTTTTTTAGCTCAATCATTAAACGCAAATTAATGAATAATTCATTATATATATTTATATATATTATATATGTTACACATATATACATGTAACAAATTAAATATAATATATAATGTGAATAAAAATACATAAATTGGAGGACTAACCTGTATCGATTGATTGATGTCAATCCTAACCTTATTTATGTTAGTAAAACGTAAACAAGACACGTGCCAATTATCTACAAATAAATCATTTAGAATAAATAAATTCAGAAACAGTGTTTCTAATTAAATGATCAAATTTGTTAATCTTTAGATTTGAATCATAGCACGTGTTATTTAATTCAACGAATAACTGTTTCGGTGATTGAAAGAAACTACTGTAAACCGTAAATCAGATTTTGAAATTGAAATTGAAAACATTGCATGTATATAGGATAGGGTAGAGAAATGAGTTTGTTCGTTATAAACAGGTAAGATGACCGGAATGGATATATTAGTGCGAAATTTATTTATTTTAATTTAATTAGGAATTGGCGATTCGTATTTAATTAAAAATTGTCAACTTCCTATTTGGTCAAAATATAATCCTTAATATCGGGTTATTTTACTTCAAATTCGATTTTCACACTTTAGGAGCCGATTTAAGGAAAATTGTTAAAGAAACCGAATTAAAGAGAGGCTTAAAGCTTTCATTTGTAAATCCGTCCATTATTAACAAAGTTATTAGCAATTGAAATTCAATATTTTTCATTACTCGTCAAATTTTGATAATTTGAGAATAAATAATAGATTACTCTGTAATAATGGAATGAATAAATAATACAATATTACATTAATACTTATAATATAATAATATAATAACTTTCACATTCACTGCCAATTAAAATGTTTCAATAAGATCGTTACTAAACTTGATTTAAAAAATTTAAATAAAGTCAAAGTACTTCATTTCTGTACCTTAATTACAGGTACGAAGGGGAGAAGAAAGAAGCAGACAATGAAACGAACCATCTCTCGCGGTTACTCAAACGAATCGAAGAGCGCAAGGAACAGAAATCCCTCCAACAAGCCCAAACTCAAACTCAAAGCCAATCAAACTTACAAGATGACTCAATAGCCAAACCCCAAAAAAAGAAGAGAAAAATAAAAAGAAATGAGGAAGAAAATTCTGCCAATATTATAAAATCAGAACAATCACACGAATTTTCTACTGAAATAAAATATGAAGAAACTCAAATTGAATCCGAAGACAAAAATCAAAGAAATGTAACAAATTTAATAAGAAATGAGGCTGCAATAACTGATAAAGAAATTAAATCAATTGATAATGTGAACGAGGAGTCAAAAAGTCAGATTTCAACAGATTTTATAATCCTCGGTTCAAAAAGTAATAAAAAGCCGAAAGAAGTGAAGCGAGTCTTACCTGAGTGGTTGTCGAATCCAGAAATAATTTCGAGAGACTTGGACAGTGGTCCAAGTTTGGACAATATAACAAATTCCCTTTTGGATGAGAAGATGATTGAATTGTTAAAAGGAAATCAGATGGAGAAACTGTTCCCTGTACAGGAATGTATGTTGAAATGGTTGACGAAGTCGGATGAGGAGAGGAGGCGAGGGTTTTGGACACGGGATGTATGCGTCTCTGCGCCTACAGGAAGCGGTGAGCTAGAGATTAATAGTTAAAGGTAGTCAAGGCTGGATTCTAGTTAAGACTGACCTCTAACGATTTATTTAATTTATGTTTTGATCATTGACACAAGCGAAAAATGTTTCAAACGAAAGTTGTAACTACTATTATCACTTAAAAAATAATGAATCAAATTTCCATATGGAATTATGACAGTACTAGTCTTCGGAGGAAATAATAAACGAATATTTTTGAATATATTTGCAGGTAAAACTTTGGCCTACGTATTACCAGTCATACAATTATTAAAATCAAGACTGGTACCCAAGATTCGTTGCTTAGTGGTGGTACCAGTACAGGAATTGGCGGCGCAAGTTCATAAAGTAATGGTCACTTACGCTGCTTCCACCGATCTGAAAGTGGCTTTGTTGTCTGGAGCTTCCTCGTTCCACCAAGAACAGAATAACATTGTCAAGAAGAATTCGAGAGGGGAATATGTCTCTTTAGTAGATGTTGTCATCGCAACTCCGGGGCGATTAATCGATCATATATTCAAGACTGCTGGATTTTCGTTGGACGATCTAAGATTTCTAGTGATCGACGAGGCTGACAAAAACGCCGACTGGCTAGAATATATTCCTGAGCGACATTACAAACCGCCGAAGTTAAGTTTGGCAAATATGAGAGACAGGTAAATAATTAAATTATTAAATATTGTTGATGATGATCGTAGAGGAAAATGGAAAAAGAACTTTTTATTCAGAATTCCATCCTCTTTCACATCCTTAAATTCGTCCATACTGATATGCCCTGTCCATATCTACTCACATAATTATATTAATTACATTGTTTCTCTAGTCTTCAATTTCCTTGAATTATTCCTATATTTCCTAATTATCGAATTATCAACTAATTCTCTTCTTCGCAGTAAAATGCCAGCACAGAAATTATTATTCAGTGCCACATTGACTCAAGATCCCGAGAAGCTGAGTAGACTAGGTCTCCTCCGTCCCATTTTATTCACATCCGTATTAATAACAAATAAAGATGGCGACGTGGACTTGGACAAAGAATCCGGCGATTTCATAGGCCGATATACAAGTCCTGAAGAATTAGAAGAAGAAGCAGTTGAGTGCTCCTCGGAATTCAAGCCTGTCGCTCTTTATTATTTATTGACGAATGGTAGAAGTGGTTGGAAGAACATGAAGGAGACATTGGAAAAGGAAGTAGAAAAAAAGAGAGGAAGAGTTGAGGAAGAACAAGAAGAGGAGGGAAAACTTAAGCAAGAAAAACAGACCGTAGAAGAAACATTCAACCAAGGAGTGAAGAATGAAAAAAGTGAAGAAGAAATAATCGAAGACCCAAAAAGAAATCGAATTTGCAAAACCTTAATATTCACTAATTCTGCCGATACGGCTCACAGACTGTCACTACTATTAAAATCGATGTTGAAAATGAATAACGTCAGCGTCGGCGAGTTGTCTGCCAAATTTAGTCCCAAAGAGCGCGAGAACGTTCTCAAAAACTTCGTCGAAGATAAAATACAAATGCAAGTATCAAAATACAAGATTTTAGTATATTTGTTTTTATTCGGCACTCTTTCTTCACGAAAGTTGTTCAAGATTTTTATTTGAAATTTTTGTACTTGTTTATATATATCTCACCGTATTTCATGATTTTTTTCATAAGAAAATATTCAATGGGGATGAAAATACAACAAAATTCGAATTGCTTTCTTCAGACTGATCTGCTCGGACGCGCTAGCGCGCGGAATGGACATCCCGAGCGTCCAACTAGTGGTCTCCTACGACCTCCCGAAACACATCAAAGGGTATATCCATAGGGCTGGAAGAACGGGGCGGGCCGGGAAAAAAGGTACCGCCATTTCGATCTTAACCACCAAACAAGCGGGCCTGTTCAAACATATGCTGACTACTGCTCACAAACGAGTTCCTCTCATTCAAAAATTGGAAAATTTGGACACCATTGCTGGTGAAATTAATTTTGAGAAGCATCTCGAGAATTTGAAAAATGTTTTGGAACTCGAGAAACGGAATCAGTTTGACAGAGCGAAAAGTGCAAAAAGAAAAAATTAATTTTGATGATTTAATTCATTTATTTTCATCGAATTCCTATTCATTCATAATTCAAAATTTAGTATTCTCAAATTTTTATTATTATTATAATGAATATTAAATAATTAAATGTAATAAAATAAGTAATGAAATTTAAATGTAAGTTCCGTCCAGACCGCTCGTGCGAACGACTTTTTTTTTATATATATCTACTCATACATCTCGTCTCTGATACTGCCCATACTGTGTGTATGCTAGGGTGGAACCTTGAAAACGCTTGATGAAGGTGAGATACTGAATTTTTAAATGAAAAAAGGGGCGAGCACAAATTATAATATTTATTTACATACATTAAGAAAAGGAGATGCAATATTGTATATCAATTTAATATTACGATAATTCATTATTATTATAATTATTCGTGTCCATCGCACACTTTCAATCGACTTGTCCCATTATCAACATTACACAAATCTTATCGAAACTCCTCGCTTACAATATTATGTTATCATAATAATTATATTCAATCGATTTAGTTAATTAACTAGTATCCACGTTTCTCTCGCTTACCCATCGATCAGTCAAATAACATATCAGGAAAATATGAATGGCATCGAAAAAAAATGATTGACAAGAACTGTGCAAATCTTGTTAAAATATAATTTAAAATTCAAAGAATTAACCGACTTTAAATCAAAAGTAACGGGCTACAAACAAAAGTGATTGGTTATAGTCAAGGTATTGTCCAAATATAATTTAAAATAGTCGAGTTCAAAGAACTGACTCACTATAAATCAAAAGTAACTGACTGCAACAAAGAGGCGATTGATTACAGTTAAGGATTGAGTATAATATATACAGATGAGAAAATGGTTAACTATGAACGGAGAATGATCAAGTACACTTATAATCATAACTCCCATTAATTGCTATAACCAAAACACAAATTACCATAATGAAACATAGTTCGTGATTAAATTATAATCCAGAAACAATCGACTGCAATTCAAGATTGATTGACTATAATAAAAAAATTGATTATTATTCTCAAATAATATAAAAACATTCGACTAAAATAAAAAATCGACCGAATATGATAAAAAAAATTAGATATTACAATATATAATTTCAAAACAATTGATTACAATAAAAGAATTGGTTAAGTATTATCATATAATTGAAAAAAATGACTACCATTTAAATTTACTGACAATAATTCACGAATTAATTAGCGTGATTACATAATCGAAAAGGAATAGAGTAGATTAACTCGTGAGTGGTTATAACTAAGTATTAAGTAAATTAAAAAAGTGGACTATAAGTAATTAATAATAATGAATACTAAATCTGTGATTAATACCAGAAAGATAAAATACCAAAGAATAGATTATGTTCGAAATAATTGAAAAGCAGTCGACTACAAATGAAGAATTGACTGACTATAATGATCAAGTAACATTGTAAAATAACGGTGGAGTTCGAGTAAAAAATGAACCGATTGATAATAAAGAATCAATTAACTGCGATGAGAAGCAATAATAGTAACTGACTATACAGTATATATATTCATATTTATATGTATATATGCCCTCACAGAATACCAGCTTACGTTATATAAAAATATGTACAGAATCGAGCATTCGTTTATATACAAAAACCGACAAATTATTTAATAATCATTCCTTATTTAAAGGTAAATGAAGGAAACAAGCAAGAAGGAAAGAAAATAAAAGAGAGAACACTTACAGTCCCGTTCGTAATTCTAAGACTATCAAAAAATTGGGTATTTAACATTAAAATTGAAAGCACAGTGTTTTATATAAAGTATTAAATACAAAGTTGGACTATTATGGATTTCCATTTCATTTAGTCATTGCGAATTCTGT